TCAAATCAAAGAGTAATTTCGGGGAACAAGAGCTTAATTGTCTCCTCTTAATCTACATAGAACGACACAGACACATGGATACACTGCTTCCGCTGTGCGAGTCGAATGCACTAATATCAATTATGGATCTCATTTTGAAGGAAACATTCTTAACTTTGTTCCTGAATCCATCTTTCAATAAATTGAGGAGCTGGGATTTTCACCTGAACAACCTGGGAACAAGCCTGTTATTGCAGTATATGTTCAAGATCAAGAGGACAAATGAGCCTGGTTGTTGCCATCCTCTGAACACCCAAACTCTCCTGCCCTGCAGCCTGTAAAAAGCACTATCTCTCCTGCTCATTTGTCCGGTGCCTCTGGCCTGCCATCTTTATGGGCTGGTTAAGGGCTCTCTCACTATCAACTATGTTTTCGCCCTGTCCACATTGGCCGGTAAAAAAGCCAGGCGTTCCACGATGTCCATCCGCCTGCCTGCCAGGATTAACATTTCGCACTTTCCAAGGTTGAAAATCCCATCAGATGGAACAAAATTAATTTTTAGCACAATATTCAGGGCCACCAGTCGCATAATAGGAGACAATGCCGAGTGCATCCCTCGATTGTGATTCCATTCACTCCCTAATCGGCAGGATGGCCGTGCACGGTGCAGCAGCGTAGTAAATGCTTTCATCCCAAGGGGATTAGAAAAACAATGGCCCTTTTTAATTTCTTTTCTAAAGCGGGCAGCAGAAAGAAAATGATATAGACATAATTGATGATTAGGAGAGCAGCGGGAGCCTTAACAGAGGTCTCACGTCCAGTGCCCAGGCCTTTTTTTTTTGCTTCATAATGGCAACTGCTCAGGGGCACTGGAGGCTGACAAATCTGGCACGGAGGACAAATTGATCGGCAACAGAACACAATTTGTCCCTTAAAAGAATGGGTAAAGGCCCTGTGTGGCCTGAGTAATTAGTTTAAACTGCAGCATGTCTGTCCAGGAGTGGACCCGCTGGAGAGGGACTCAGTGTGTCCTCTTAAGATGCCCTGATGCTGCAACACACACAACTCTCACCTGGAAAACTCCACACAAAGCCCATACTACTGAATAAATCATTTAACGTATTTATTTAGATAAATGGTAATAAAAGAGAGAGGTTAGGCATGTTGCATAACGGTGTGAGTGTTTATGTGTGTATTTATATGCATGTGAGCTTTCATCTCTTGCCACCTCATAAATTCCCCTAAAAAGTCACTTTTCCGTGAACAAACTTCTGCTTTAAAAACGACTAAAATGAAGCAACAAACTTGGAGAACAATTACACAATTTAAACTTTGATTTGTATTGATACTCACTGCCTATCTACGGCATGTGTGGTTTTAGGAGACAAAAAATATCAAGGGGAAAAATGCTGGTTGCTTATTCTCAGCGTGCACTGAGTCTAGACAGAGGCATATGGCACGTCCATGGTGGCCACATCTGTGGTGTGATACAGGGAGAGTGTCATTTTGCTACTCAATTTGGTGGAAGCTGATATCTTCCAGCTTACCCTTTCAAATATGAAGTGAAACACTTCAGAAAGTAGGAGTTGGTAACTTGTTCTTCTCTCCTATCTTCTTCACTGTGACACTCGGCTGCCTCGTCATCAATACATGGGTCAGGTGCTGCTTGTACTCTCACTCAGAAACCTAAACAACGTCGATCCCTTTACAGAAAGATCTATGTAAATGACAAGTATCAGGTTGGGGTGCCAGCTGAAACTCAGCACATTCCACAGAGTGGAATAAAGAGGGTGGGGCAATGAATGTGGCAGAAAGATGATTAGGCAGGAGAAGGCATTGGGGGAGGGGAGGAAGAGAGCACCAAATGAGAGACAAAGAGAAGCTGGATCTTTTTTCCAAGAAAATTTTAATTGGCTTTTGGGCTTCAGTGGCACCCAATTAGCATGCTTGTTACATGCGAACACCAGGAACTAATTGGCCTGAGAAGAAGAAGTGGTGTGGTTCTGAAAGGAAAAGGCAAGATTCATTTGAAGGTTTCCAGCTCCAATGGCGGCATGTTTGGAGGCTACTTGGCATTGGCAACATTTTGGTGCTTTAACAGCAAATATAATTCATACTGTCTCAGTGTTTTTTATTTCCAGATGATGTTGCAAAAAAGAAAGTACCACGATTTCCATAAAGTTTATAGACGGACAACTTACCTGGATCTACAGAAGTTGTAGTGATGTAGAAAGGAAATGTTAGTGCATTGTTCACAAGCTATTCTCTGGCGCAAGTCAGTGTGTGAGCGTCCTAGGAATTAATCACATCGTGGAGAAATCATTCACAGGCATGACCTAACCTGTCCCCTTGCAGTGCCATGCTGCCCTACATCGGGGGATATGCTGAATGTGCACGTAAACACAACAGCACTAGCTCACCAAGGGCAAGAGGCTGAATCTCTGATTACATTTAAAGTACAAACGGTAGCAGCAGGATCGGGAGCACGGGACATCAAGAGCTCATTATGCTCTTTACATGCAATTAATCAAACAATGTAAACACTGCTCGCCTCAGCCACAACACACAGAGACAGATTATCTGGTGGCAAGTTGAATGCCGTAAATGCAGTACAAGACGTAGTAAAGGAAATAAAGGAATGTGAATTATGGAAAAATGTAATATTCACAGCCAATCTGGAGATGAGAGTAAGTCGTGGCTTCATGCTGAGACCACACACGCAGATATATCTGCCTCCTCTCTGTCACACCGTTAAGCCTTTAGTCTCCTCCTTTGGTGAAATGCACACTCTGTGTTATGATATGAAAATAAGTGCAGAAAAGGGGACACTTTGTACCAATGAAAGTACTACATGAAGGACGGAGTAGAAAGACAGCACTCTGACAGAGATACTTATGAAGCTGGGCATGTACATGTCCCTTCAACTGTGATGATCTGGGCTCAGTTAGAGAGGCAATCTCTCTTAAGTGAACTTTTCCTTTTTAGAGGAAGAGGATTTGTTACTTAAAAATGTAGCTCTAAACTTTTTAAGGCATAATCTGAGCTCTTTTAAAGCTAACAACACTTCAGTTTGGATTTAACCCTGTATGACATATATGCAGCTGCTATTGCAAATGTGATTCATCTGCATCAAATACATTTTTTAGGCAGCGTTTGGATTATTTTGTCGTCCAACATTTTATTTTGATTTTGTTTCAGTCATCATCTTGTGAAAGACTTGATATATGTATATACTGTGTATATATATATATATATATATATATATATATATATATACTGTATATGTATTCTGCATATAGGTTGCCTGACAGTCACACTGCCACAATCCTACTGTACAATCACGTCTGCACACTGTGTGGAGTAGCCACTGAAAGGGCAGCATTATACGACAGAGCATCTCAAAGCATCAAGCCATAACAATGACAATGAGGCTTGTCCAGAAGTATCACTTCTCTCGGCCTTCGTCTGTCCCTGTGTCCCTCCAACTCTTCTTGTTTTCTCTCTCTCTATATCCTTCTCTCTCTGTCTCTGTGCCTTTCTCATACACGCATTGACACCCACACACACGCAGAAAGAAAGCACATCTTCATTAGCCCTTTGTCTGCAGGCGGTGCTCAGTCTGAGATTGCAGGACTGACCCCTCGCTGTGAGATGTACTGGGGAAATGTTTACCCAAACCCCACAGAATATGCCATTAACCTCTTTCTAGATAGAATACAAACAAGAACCTCCCTCTATGAGGGCAATAAAGACAGGAACACCTATCCAGGGCCATCATGACAATCATCTCATTATGAAGCTGCGGGAGGCAGTAACGAGCCAGGGATCCCGGTCACCAGGGACTCTTTCTCCGCAGTGTACCTGTGTGCATAACATTCAGTAAAGTACCTATGAAATGAAGTGAAGTGAAAACAGCTGATTAACCCAACAGTGAGGAATATTATAAAGCCACCCAAGTTCATCAACCACCTTTGGCCCCAGAACCAATCCCTTTACCTACTTTCTTCCCCTCCTACTTCCTGTCTCTACCTCTCTCCCTCCCCAGAGATTCAGGTGGATATCCCGAGGCTCTGATTAAAGCCCCAACCTGGGAGGGTGTCTTGGTTCATGGTGAAAGGAAAAGGGGAGGGGGGCCCGGGCACTGGAGCAGTTTCACGTTCTTAGGGACCCGCGGGCGTAATTCAATCACACCTCGATAATTCCCCTGATGTGAGAGAGTCGAATCCCCTTCACACACATCAAGTACGTACACACCACAAGCTCACGCTGATCCCAGATTGAGGGTCTCCTCCTGGGTGGGCTTAAGAGCCCACTACTGGGTAGGTTTTACCTGTGTTGTTTGAAGAAGCTATTATTTTAATTGAAAAAGTTACTCGCTCCCCAAAGGCAACCGATAGGAAACAGGGGAAAAAAATTTAAAAACGGGAGAGAATTAAAACAAAAAACACCAGATGGTGATATACATGGTAAAAATGATTGTTTATACTTACTGTTTGATTATATGTGATAATGAGAGTGGGATTCCTCAAGGCAATTAGTGTCTGTGGCAGCCATATTGTGAGAGGACAGGGGAAGGACGGCACAGGCTGTTATGAAAGAGCGCTTATCAAATATCTCCGCCGGGGTGATTAGTGTAATAAGACACTGCAAGGTGAGATAGGCCACTCACACTCTTTTTGTATGTCCGTGTGTGTGTGTGTGTGTGTGTGTGTGTGTGTGTGTGTGTGTGTGCATGTGTGTGTAGGTGAGTGAGCAAGAAAGAATGTGTCTGATAGCGAGCAAGAAAGAGAGGCTGAGAAAGTGTGAGTGACTCTTTCCATCTGTTTCCATACCCGCGTGTGTGTGCCTGAATGTGTGTGTTAATGTATACTGTGTCCCCATGTGCTTTGGCGTGTGCACGTATGTGTGTGTGTGTGTGTGTGCAAGTGTGATATAATCCCTATGTTAATGTAGGATCCCATGCCAGGCTGGCTGCCCCAGGGGCTTTAGCCTATGACAGAGGGCAGATCGGGGGCACTTACCCCTGGCAGAGTCTTCTGTTCATGGAGGGCGCTCTGGGCCTTCAGTGCTGACTCTCTGGCGCAGTATGTTAGAAAGGCACATCCTAGAGTATCAGGGAGACAGGAGAGAGATGGGTTTAATCCACAATGAACCACCATTTATGACAAAAAGAAGAAAAGTTAAAGTGACAGAGACCATATTGCATTGTTTAAAGAAAGAGTACGTGGTATGTTGTGTTTGTTGGATACTAAGTATGACTTTATAGTAGATCACAAAACATGATATCCAAAACATGTAAAGTGATTTTGATGATCTAGGGATTTCAGCATTTAGCACCCATCAAATACAATGTTTAAAATGTAAAAATACCGATTGTGACATATAAGAGATTGAAAAAAGATCAATTTAAGCCTTCTCCATCACCCTTATGTTACCCCGTTTAAGCTGCACAAAGTGTATTTTCAAACACAGCTCTTGATTTTCATTGGCTCTACCATGAAAGTCCTTTTAAAATGTACCATGTAAAGCCAGTGTAACATCTCTCCATTGACGTTTGTTCAGAGATTAGGCATCCTTACAGTCGACTTCAAAAAAAACACATAAAAACCTTCCAAATGGACCCAGAGATTTGTGATTTGTGAAGTAATTCCAATCTACGCAAGCCATACTATAAGACCTTACAAGCTATTTCCAAAAACATGTATTACATTAAAACGGAATTCATATACTGCTCTGACAATTGGAATGTGGCTCTCTGAAGTTAATAGCTCTATACCCTCAGAGAAAATAACATGCTGGTTGAGAAATAAGATTACAATTTTACACATTTCTTCTCAAAATATGACAACCTCTTCAGATTAGATTTACTGAACTCATGCAAATGTACACTGTTTATGACAACAATATGTTTGCTATATTGTTTGTATTGTTGTTGTTGTTTTTCTCCATTCAGTTTAATATAGTGAAAAAGACTAAGCAAAATGAAACAGAAAATACAGGTGGAAAAACAGGTGTGTTCCTGGAGGTTCAATTTAAATCAGGAGTGATGATTGAAAATGCTTAGTCAACCCAGAAAGGGCGTTATTGTATTCACATCGTTACAAAAACAATATGCATACTGCTGTCTTATGAATGATTTCCTAGTTATTGAACCAAGCACAGGAGGAAAAAGTAAAACAGTATTTTTTTTTTCAGCTACTAAGTTATTAAAATCCTCTGGTGATAAGCGGAAACTCTACCCTTACACATCTCTGGAGACTTTCCTTTAAGTTTTAAAATTCAGGAAAACAGAATGAATATGCATCAATAAATAATTCCTTTACAAAAAATGTGACAGCTTTCATTAAAGGGTGAGTGGTTGTTCTGTTATGCGCTTGGCAGAACTGACAGTGGGTGACCCCGTTCAGAAGAGGTTTTGCACTGTGCAGCATAATTTCCCATTACTGCATGTCACACCTGCTGCCAAGGATTCCCATGGGAGAAACGAGACATACACACACATACACACACACTCAGACATACAAATTATACCCTGCGTGCAGCACATAGCACCCATCGCCCTCAAAACCCAGCAACACACTCTGGCTTCCGGCCAAGAGAGCTCCCTTTCACGACAACCTTCACCCACCTCCACAACTAGGCAGTTACTCAAGAGGAAAAATCACCTAAACGACACTGATGAAACAGCATGCCACACAGCAAAGCAGAAAAGTTTGGGAGCCTGGGGAAACACTCTTCATCCTTTGTGACATTACAAAACTGTGAGACATGAACCGAGGTCTCCCTGGGGGCATGTCGTAGCAAAGGCTTATGGGAATTGTAGGCCGTTGCTAACACTCCTCTTGCTCTAACCTTTTTGGTATTTTCCACTGTGTCACTTTGCTGCATATTGCCAAAATGTTTAGTAAATACGTTGGCAAGATTTCATCACATGATATACTGAAGTGTGACTGAAAAATGTCCCTACCAGAGAGTACGAACTCCGGTAAACTTTTCTACAACAACGTTTAGCATTAAAGTGTTGTGTTTATGATTTTTGATCCAGTGAAACATAAACTTTGGGTTGAAAGAATTCTTTAATTTCAAAAAATATTTTTATTGTTTATACCTACTCTTTTTAACTTTTTCTAGTAACTAAGTACATTTACATGTACATTTACATAAGTACAATTTTGTGGTAGCTGTCGTTTACTTGCATTACAACTATAGTTTCTGGTTACTTCAGATTAAGATTTGACATGCAAGTGATCAGATGATTAAATATGCATCAATAATCCAATATATTACTACTACAAAAACATTGGTACTTTTACTTTAGGAACATTTTGAATGCAGAACTTGTACTCCAAGCGATCTCTCCCCAATCCAAATGTTTCTAGATGCTTTAAGAAAAATAGCATGTGATACTATTAATTCAAATGATTTGTTAAACTAGACTTTTTTGTTCAGTGTAGCCTTTAATATCCAGGCCAGCTGCGTGGCTGCCTCGGCTTCCTGGCGGTGGTGAAAAAAACGGCGGGGCTTTAGGAAAGCTTTATATCCAGCAGTGCTAGCTCAGGGGACATCTTAAGCCCAAAGGACTGAGAAAGCCAGTTGTGGAACAGATGAGCATTCAGCTTGGAGAACATGAGGAGAGACACAATGATATAGTTTGAGGGGCGGTAACAAGGATGTAACAGCTGGTAGCAGGTTAGGGCTGTCAGCTTAAAATTTTAAGTTGACTAATTGGCATGGGATTACTTTCATACATGCAGGTTATCCCACAGTGTTGTCCTCTTGGTAGTATGTGCAATCACACAAATGGAGCTTTCAAAAACATATCACTTTCATTGTTCAGTATGACACTGAACAATGTGTTCTGCTGCAGTGGTAATGCAGCAGAATGTGCAAACTGATTTAAACTGTCTGCACAACATTACCACAAAAAAACAAACTTTGACAACAAAAGCAGACATGATGTTCACTGTGATGTATTACAAAATTTGAGGAACTGATGCAAGTCTTTTAAGCCGATAGTAAAAAGGATACAATCTGAAATAAACACTGGTTTGGTCCTTTAGTGCTTCAGTGCTTCTCATGCCTGTTGTGGTAGTGCTACATAAGATAAGGTATTCATTTTCAGCAAATAACACAGATAACGTTTAACCCTCCCTTTGTGAATTAAAGTTTGAATTGACAAAATCTTAAACCAAAGACTGGAGAAAATAAGTCGTAGGCATTAAATGGGAAGAAGAAGAATAGGAGAACATGGCTCTGATGGTGGCAACAGAAGGACTGGTGGCTTTCTGTGATGAGCAGGTTAAGTGGGGTGAAAATAATACTTTGGTAATCAAAGACAATTTACCACACTATCATTTCATTGGGGGACAGAGGTTCAACACATTATGTTGAAGGCAAATGAAAAAGTAAACCCTGTAAACTAGTTCAAAGACAAAGCCAGAAATGTGAAATGTGTCTTTGCGTTTGCAAGACAAGTTTCGAGTAATTACTTAAATAACTCCCCCCCCCCCTGTAACGCTTCTCCTAAAAGTTTGTTTTAAAATGGAAATTAGTGTGTGCTCACAATTGCATGCATCCAGGCATTAAGAGTAAATTGTGCTTTTTTAAGGCATCAGGTATCTGTAATTGAAATAACTACAGAACAAATTTGTATAAAATTTCAATTCATTAGCAGTGAATTCATGAATCATGAGCAATTTGCTTTCCTCCAGTCTCTTCACACGTGTCTGATCGAAGAATGTTCATTAAAGTGGGAAAAGAATGCAAATTCATTTCCAAAGAAGATACAGGCGCAAAAGAAATTATGTAAAACAACTGGATGCTGCTGAATGTGACAGCCTGACCCTCTCATGGGTGCTGAGACAAATACGATGTGAGGATTCATCAACCGCTTCATGTTTCCGTGTTAACCACACTATTACCTGCCGAGCATCTTTCAGTCGATCTACTTTCGGAGCGGGCTGTTCGGAGTGGTTAGCTGTCTGCTTCATACACAGCCCCCTTTCTGATGATCAAAGAGGTCATCTGTAGTCTTACGCTACACCTGTCACTCAACTTACACAAACTGTCAATCACTGTCCAACACTTCCTCCACAACGCTCATACTGTATATAAAACCAAATATAGGCTCGGATCTGTAACCCCTTGTGGCCGCTACTAAAAGTCTCAAAACTATTTATTTTTAAAGCCACATAATTGAATTTCACAGAGTACCACAAAACTGTCTATGAATTGAAAAGACACTTTCAAGGATTTGTTGTTACTTTCTATGTCTCATTTGCAATTAGATATTAGTGCCCTACTGAGGTTTTTTATGTCAATTTGGCAGGCTATTTATAGCCAATTACACTGCATGGACCTACCGAGGAGAGGAGAATGGATGAGGATATTTAACGTCTCTTTGTATCTCTTGCTCCTGGCTGTGTGGTGCAGCTCAGAGTCCCTGCTCTCAGCATCAGAGACGGATTGATAGATAACGCTACTCAAGCAAAAGATTTGCCCCCCACTAACATTCAGCATGTCTGAACAATGCATGCGTTCTGGCACTGACACTAAGTATTATGATAATGTAGTGCTCAGCGAAATGATGGATGTTAAACAGCACGACCTGGCTGCACAACCCACTGATGAGCGAGCGCCGCGCACGCCAATAGTGTCAAGTCATCCCACATGCTGCATAAGGCTCCCTGACGACACACAAACTATCAAATCGACATTAAAGGTAAGAGCGTCTAACAACTACGGAAAGGATATAAGCATCCGTTAAAAGAAACGGATGAAAAAAAAAACGCCTTCTGAAGATACAGCAACACTAATCCACTGAATTTGTACAGGAAAATATTAAATACAAAATTCCCCAGATATTCAGATGAGTCCCTGGAGAACCCCTAAATGCCCAAAGTAAGAATTCACAAAGCACAAAACATCTGTTCAAAGTGATGCAGTACATTCCACATGAATTAGTCATGAGCAAACATGACATATTTTGATCTGCCCTCAAATCCATAATTATGGTGCAATTCTTTGTCACAGGACTCGAGCTGTGAAAAAAGGTAGTGCTGCAAATCATCCATTAGGTACGGTTTACTAACTGATGCCAACAGCCATATACGTCATCTATCCGAAACAAATCAAATCTCTCTCAACCACAAACTAAGCTCGAAGAGGGATTTCAAAGTAGCAGTCAAACTATATGCATGGCACTGCACTAAATATTTATGAACTTTATGTTTTTAGGGATCGTGGAGCCAAGCTGATTATATCCTCTTAACTCTGCTCTGAAAAATGTTTGTGTTACTATTTATGTAAAAATGTGGATTGAATTTGTGACAATGTTACAAGTTCGGGAGCCTTCCGGGACTTTGACATAATAGCTAGGCAATATCCATTGACATCTTATGCATTTTTGAGAACTAAACAGAACACAAACCACTTTTGAAACTGCTGTGCAATACATATACTTTGACAAACAATCATTTCAAAAACGTATATTGTATAGAGGCGAAGGAAATGACTCAAGGTCTATCTTGATGACAGTATTGTGTAACAATCAATCAATGTATTCATCCTGGCAGTACAACATCAGGCTCAAATGAAACTTTCCACTGCACTGTTAGTTGTAGAGTGTGTGAAGTTGTGAAGATGTTTAAACTCTCATCCGATTTCTCGTAGGTGGCAGACATTGAGATTTCTTGTGACGCAAACATCTAACACCCTTACATGACATCATGAAGTGAACAACCCAGAGAGGTTAAAATGTCAAGACCTCACCACCAACACATTGAAACAATGAAACCTCTAGGATGAGTATCATAATGTCTTAAACTGTAAAACTACAGTTCAATGGGTAATTCAATTTCAGCCTCATGCTAACACTTATACAGCCCCGGTGTGTTTTCGTCCAATTGGTGTTTTGACCAAACATAATGTGTCACTGTATTGAAGTGATGGACCAGAAAACTGAAAATCATTTCCCTCTTTAGAGAACTTCTTTAAACCTGCAATAACTATTTTTATTCGGCCCTTGGCAGCAGCAAAAACCAAATGAACACACGATATTATCACCCTTTAAGTTGATTTAGCAGATTTATTGACAGACAGTTGTTTATTTACAGATCTAGCAGACATTGAGCAATAGCATTAACGTTCTTTTGGAGTCGCGTTCATGGCCACCTGCTGTAAGTCCAATATTCGTTCCCTTCAGCATTGTTTTCAGTCCCAAGTATCTCCTAAGGAAAATGTATGGATGCTCTAATGTCCAGCAGCTTGGCACTAATTCAGACTGTGTTTCAGAAGTGGACTTAGTCGCCATGACGTCATCCATTGGTTTGTGGACTGCTGTTTTGAAGCCATCTTGGTTTTGGCAACCAGAAGTGACACGAGAGGGTGGAGTTAAGTACAATTGGACGCTGAACAAGACATTTTTTAGACAACCAAAAATGTTACAGTTAACTTTCATGAACTGAAAACACACTGTGAAAAGGTAAACATCATGCTGAATTTAAGAAGACTTAAAACTGGTGATTGAGACCATAAACTCATGTTAACAATGTCCACTGAGGTAATTAGTCAAGTGAGAAGAGGGGTCATTTTCTCATAGATTTCCATACAATGTGACTTATGTTTGCAACCAGAGGAGCCCCCTGCTGGCCATTTGAAAGAATGCAAGTTTAAGGCACTTCTGCATCCGCTTCAATTTTTACCTCTGTGAAGAGGACCTGCTCTGTATGTAGATATAAATGACTCATTCTAAGGTAACGAAAACACAATGATTCTTATTTTAAGGTGATTATACACTAACAAAAACATACTTATTCACAGTACATTCCATACTGCCTAGATTCCCCTAAATGCTATACACTGGACCTTTGAATATAAAACTTTACACAATATAAACTTCACTTTCGAGCTTAGGTTTTATATCCCAATTGATTTCAGCAGCTAAATGAGGAGGAACATGTTTAACAGTGTGGCAAGACAGTTTTCTAATTTATTGATAAATAAAAATCATACGGATTTTTATTATCATTCAATTGCGTTCACTTGCTTTTTAAAGAGGACTTATGTACAATTTGGTAGTTTACTATACTATTTTTCTGAAACAATTAAATTTCATATTGATGAAGTCTGTGTAAGCTGCATGAGGACAATGTAAGTGAGCTTTGAGATAGGATTGTTTGTCAAATGAAATCACAATTAATAAAAAAGTTAGAAGTCTACTGATATAGAAGACTGCCGTGCTGACCTTGGTGTGTTGTTTACAACATAATTCAGTTTGAAGAAGCCCAAGTACTTTTTTAAGTTCAGTAATAAATGTACCTTCAATTACCCTGCAAAAGCTTTTCTTGGTTTTAGAATGGCCATTCATTCAGTGTTTTAAACCGCTCTCCTTGAGTGACACAGCACATGATACACTACATACTTCTGTTTTGTTCACGACACTAATCCCATTTTCTTACTCTAGTTCGTTCTTGCTTCGGTCTACAGGTATCACACATCGACGCAGCATGAGGCATGAACATGGTTTAGGTAAGTGGCCAATAAGAAAAACTCATCCATATAATGCATTGGTGAAATCTTATTAAAAGTGCACGCCTGTGCTCCCAAAGTGACTTTGAATGTCATGCTGGATGAAGTGGGCATAATGCATACATCAGAGTGGCCTTGGAGGGGGATGATTTGAACGGGCATACAGTCTGGCTTTGGAACAGGATTATCCGTCCGGAGGCAACCATCCTCTGGAGTGTTGACATTCAGGGACAGTCGAGGACGGGCGTAAACAACACGAACATCAGAAATATTGTTTTAATCGATCACTGGGCTCCAAAGAGGAACAACGGAAAGTGAAGGAGCATGTTGAGCACCGGCGACTGGTGGCCGGGGAACAGGTGGTGCATGGAGACCTTCAGGGCTGCACACACAACAAAGCAAGGCTGAGCCCACACTCATTTCTCCCGAACTTGACTTGCACTGATCAATAAGATCATGAACTGCAGCCACTAACATATCATACATAATTTGCCTGCCTTGTGTATAGATCATTTTTACTCAGAGTGAACTGATTGTGATTTCAATGCTACATGTGTGCATGCGTGATTTAAAATTATATATAAAATGTAAAAGATAATTAACAACTATCTACAAAATATTATAAATAGCAAACAGCAGCAGTGCCATAATAATAATGCACTTTATCTGATAATAAACTGGAGGACAGCCTGCTCACGATGACACGGATAGTGCTGGAAGTGTGACCTTATTTTGTATTTCCATTCCAATAAAATGAATGTTTAAAACATTAACAAACAAAGTCTAAAATCATAATTAAAATAGTGATAATAGTTTGTTATTATATTTGAATGATTATTAGATTTCCCTTAGCCACAATAGGATACTATCAAACATTACTGGAAAAGCTGTTGCAATTTAAGGCTTGTAATAAAAAAAACATATAAACATCTAAATGCAAAACGGAATAAAGCTACTGCCTTTCAAAATTTGGTTTGTTTTATAATATTTGTTTTTACATGAAATGTACAAATATAAAAAGATAAGTGCATAATAGCAGTAAGTTGTGTTTAACCAGACTCGGACTTTGAATTTTGCACTTGGATTTTATTTGTGACTTACTATACTCAAATACCCAACCCGCTCTCTGGCATTCACCATTATAACTATCATTAGAAATGATCGATCCTTGACTAATTACTAAGTGAATACTGATCCCGCTCGTTTTGGACAATGAGGGGGACAGCGGGGGTGAGAACAGAACAAGCGAGAAGACGATGCATGCTGGATCTCAGCCTCTACTATTATCCTGCTTTGTACTTCCTGACTGCAACCCGCCCACGGAGCAGTATTACAATACAGCTGCCGTGTAAATAGTACTTTCCACAGATAATGACGTCCGAAAAGTAAGCTACATATTAGCCGACTAAAAGGTCAAAGCAGCATGCCAGCACCACGTTAATCACGGATGCTGATTGCCTGATAATGGTTTGCACGTTCCGCTCCCCTGAAAGCATTTATTTATCTCCGACAATATGCTGCAAATGGATCTGTGATGCGGATCAGACGGATTCTCTTTCAGTCTTTTTTAGTTGTGGAGATATTTCTGCAGCTGCAGAAATAACACAGCATCCAGCGCTTGCCTGTCCCGCCCCCTTAAACTGGGATGCTCAGCACATGAGAGTCAATGTAAACACACAAAGGCGTTTTCAGCTGTAGTATTCACGTGGATGGGCTGGACGCTGTAACAATTAACCCTCCACTCTCAAAGCAATTCACTTCCACGTGTTCTCCCTCTTACGCTTTAGATATTTGCGTGTGTAGGTGTTTGTGTAGGTGTGTGTGTGTGTGCGCGCGCGCGCGTGTGTGTGTGTGTGTGTGTGTGTGTGTGTGTGTGTGTGTGTGTGTG